TTATTTTTCGTAAGGGCCCCATCGGATCCATTTACTTCCTTGGTGTTTCACCATTCAGTCATTGATCCATTCATTCACTCATTCGTTAAACAGTATGCCACAAATCCTGCATTGAACCCGGGACATTCCTTTCAGGGATTCCGTGCAGGGTGTGTAAGGAGAATATAAGAGCGAAAGAAAACGAGAGGAAGAGGTGGACCGATCCGGTATGCATGCTCACCGAGACGTGTATAGCCTACACCTGCAACACATCGGCCCTGCGAGAGCAGCGTGAGCAGCGCGCAGCGGAGGGTTTTACTTCAAATACTATGGTTAAACTATGATTAGCAAAACCATGGTTAATTTGTGTTTACTATGGTTTATCTATTAGTAACCATGTTTTTCTTTCTTTTTTTTTTGTAAAACCATGGTTATTTTTCGTAAGGGCCCCATCGGATCCATTTACTTCCTTGGTGTTTCACCATTCAGTCATTGATCCATTCATTCACTCATTCGTTAAACAGTATGCCACAAATCCTGCATTGAACCCGGGACATTCCTTTCAGGGATTCCGTGCAGGGTGTGTAAGGAGAATATAAGAGCGAAAGAAAACGAGAGGAAGAGGTGGACCGATCCGGTATGCATGCTCACCGAGACGTGTATAGCCTACACCTGCAACACATCGGCCCTGCGAGAGCAGCGTGAGCAGCGCGCAGCGGAGGTGAAGACGCGCCAGTTCACAACTACCCATTCCGCGCGCGCTGAGGGGTGGGGGTCGGGGGAGCGCAGTCTCCATGGCAACCTTCCCACAGTGCAAAAAATCATTTAATCAGAAAGATATTTCACCCGGCTCACTGAGCTGAAAGAGAGATGGGGGATAGAGAGAGAGAGAGAGAGCAGAAGAGAAAAACTTGAGGAGCGGGCGTGGTGTAGAGCTGTTTTTATCACTGTGGGAAAGAAAATTATCTAGTGAAATTAGTAACATGGTGCAATTATCATTACTGCTAATAGCTGTGACTGTAATAGGGAATGCTATGTTCATTTTCACAGCCTCAAGGAAAGAAATCCATCCATTTCGAGGTCGAGATTCATTTCTGTAATGACAGGCGCGAATATTTTGGGAAAATAATAGTCTAATCATGAGTGTTTGGTGTTGTGCATGTGTATGTGAACATGCACCTGTTTTTCCTCACCTGTGCCCTGTGAAATGTACCTTGGAGGCGTATTATTGTAGCCCCAGTGACCCAGATAGTGGTGGTATGTATATGGACGTGTTCTGTGCGCTCTGGTCGCCTGGTGTGAGTTCCAGATGGCTCCTGTCTCCCAGCAGAGAGCACCAGTAAAGGCTTCGTGTTTTAATCAGTGCCACCTGGAGGACACCTCTCCAGAGAATAATGTCGGACATCCGGAAACAAGACAACATTTTGTGGGATTTTGAAGTGGAATGCATAAATGCCCTGCTGATGCAGAAGAGTTGATAGTTATATACACACTCAGACAAAAAAGTACAAAAGCTGTCACTGGGGTGATACCCGTTCAAAAGGTAGCCTACTAAAATGTATAGGGTACTAATATGCACTCTTTAGGTAAGGTGTACAAAGGTACTGCCCCAGTGACAGCTTTTGTACATTTTCTCTGAGAGTGTACATAGCTGAATTGAATAGTATACCTCAGACATGTCTTTGTATTATTAAAACATACACGAAAGTGCTGATCTTAAGAAACAACAGCAGTTTTCAGTGGGAGAAAATTTCACATTATAGGCAAATAACATGAATTCTATAAGGTGATACATTTTCAATTAACATAAATCTTCAATAATGGCGCACAAGAGCATCTACGTTCGTGTGTGCAGGCAGCACAAATAAAAAAGGAATTATGGGCCACCTCATTCATTACAATAGTTTTTTTCTCCCTCTGTTTCCTGAATTATAATAACAGAAATATATTCACTTAAAATCAAGCCATCTGCTGGTGGTGTTCAACTGGGAAAATTGTCTCTAGTCAAACAAACCAGTTTGTTTGTGTGTTATATTATTATTATTATTATTATATAGTAATATATATGTATTATTATGTAGTAAAATATATGTATTGTATAGTAATATATATGTATTATTACTATTATATAGTAATATATGTATTAAGAATAATTATATTCTTCTTAATATTATATAGTACTGTTAAAAAAATCAAATAAATTAATGATGTATGCATTAAATTGTTCAAAAGAGGCCTTTTACATTGTTACCAACTTTTACATTGTTCTATAGCATTGTGAAATACTGTTCTTTTGACCTTTCTATTCATCACGAATCCTGCAACAATATATCATGGTTTTCACAAAAAACAAAACAAACAAACAAACAAAAAAATATATATATATTAAGCAGCACAACTGTTTTCATTGTTGATAATAATTGATTTCTGAATGATTATGTGACACTGAAAACTGGAGTAGTGACTGATGAAAATTCAGTTTTGCCAAAAAATTTAAATAAATTACAATTTTAAATATATTCAAATACAAAGTTATAGTTGTTTTAAATTGTAAAAATATTTTACAAAACTTCTGTTTTTACTATATTATTCATCAAATAAATGACTTAATAAAAAAGAAAATACAAAAGAACTGCCTAAATCTAAAACATTAAGAAGTCTTACTGGCCTGAATAGTTTTTCTTTTCTGTAAATCATATATGCATTATTTTACTAAATTATCTGATGGGCAGACAAATGTTTTAGTTTGCTGTCATGTAGGCAATCTTGTAATAAGTAATAAATATTTATTTTCATAAGAATAATAGTAGTCCAAGGCACTCGAATCTTATTCAAAAAGTTTTAAAAAGCCTTTATTTCATCATGGCTATAAGTTTTAAGAACAGGTGACAAGTGCACACCTACGCGTTGCGGCTATTTTGCCTTCGTCAGGGTGTGAGTAACAAACACAATCTGAGTTCATTTTGAGCAGCAATTAATTAGTCAAATAACAATTACCTGGTCGTTCTACACAGGACAAACAGAAGAGAGGAAGTTCGACGATTACATATCAAAAAATTTAATCAAACACAATATAATCATATATAAATGAGAGGGAAATTTTTTTTAAATAAACTTAAATATATAAATCAGACTCCATAAATGTATGTACACTCTAAAACATGCTGGGTTAGATACAACCCAGTGCTGGGTAAAATAGAGACAAACCCAGCAATTGGGTTGTTTTGACCCAGCGGTTGGGTTAAATGTTTAACCCAACCTTCTAATAACCCAACCGCTGGGTCAAAACAACCCAATTGCTGGGTTTGTCCCTATTTTACCCAGCACTGGGTTGCATTTAACCCAGCATTTTTTAGAGTGTATGTATGTACATAGTATACATTTCTTAAAAAAAACTAACAAACCAAGATCAACAATATAATACTTCCAGATCTGAATTCTTATTACAAAAAAGGTACAAGGTCTAATTCATTTTTTACATTTAACATTTATTTAATTTATGTATTTTTTATTTTTTACTATACTGGAAATTCAGTCAATCTTTAGTGATGTGATGCTGTCAATCAATGTATGGAGTTAAGAGTAGGGTTTGTCTTTACTCCAGTTCCCTCGTTCACCTTAAATCCATCTAATCTAGCCACCCAGATCACAAAGCTGAGCTAAAGCCTCCAAAATAGTGCCACTCCACAAAAGAATTACTCCCTGGAGATGGATGTGGAATAGAGCACAGAAAATGCATCTCTAAAAAAAAATCTCTTATTCGGACACACACAGGTCCTAAGTTCCGGACAATCCTAACTAACCCTAGGGGCACTCTTCTGCTTACTGACCGTGAAAAGCAAAGGAAGTCAGCCGGGGGTTGTAAGAGAATAGCTCTAAATGGGTTAAACTGATTCAGAGCATTGTTTGTATGGGAGGCTTTAAATATGATGCTCTTGATGCTCTCCGTTGCTCGCTGGAGAGTAGATTCTATTGTTGGAAGGAGAAAGAACAAGCGAGCCTCAGGACCACTTGGCTTGCAGCACACTGTTCTTATTTGACAGCAGGTTGGGTCGCTCGGGGGCCGTCTGAGTAATTATGCACATTCTTGCAGTAAGGAGCAACAAGGAGAGGTAACTGGTTGCACGCCGACCTAAAAACATAATTCTTTCTTCAATAACTTACCTCTCTCCTCCTTTCTGATATTCAGTGAAGCACAGAGCAGAGACTGGACTGATTCTGTGTAAGCCTAGGTAACATAAAGAATAAATAGGACAATAATTTAGAGACAGTCCATGTACAAAGTGATTGCTCAAGAAAATAGTAAAGTTAGGCCTATACAGTATTATCCAGTTGTTTCTATGGTCTTCTTCTTCTTTTTTTGGTTGCTTGACTTTAGTGACATCTACTGTTTATCTACTTAGCTGTTTGCTCTTAAGTTTAGAAAACCCGTTGTCCCAAATAATAATAATAATAATAAATATTAAAATTATAACATTCGTTTCAATAATGGATTGTTTCAATAAGATTTTAAATAATAATAGATACAATTAAATATACATATATATATATATATATATATATATATATATATATACAAAACACCAAGTAGGCTACTTAAAACTTATAAAATACAATAATGTAGCCTAACATAAGATTTGAGATTAAAAAGAAAAATAAGAAAACTGGAAATGAAAACTAAATAATAAAGAAACAAAACATACACTATAGGATACATTTAAGATTAAAACATTATGATGATGATAGTAAAATCGTCGTACTTTATTATTAGGCTATTATATAGCTCACATTTATGGATTACTTTCATAAGCATACATTTTACTTCCTTATGCAAACACAATAAAGCCTAGGCTATGTTTAGTTGTAGAGATGATGGACTGGCCATTCACGCACTCCTGCGACCATACAACAAGCGGTGTAAACTGATAGATGGGTGTATCAGTTATATTTTAGGGACGTACTTTTGGTCTAAAAATCGATCACTCATAAATCGATTCACCAACCCAGTCCAGTTCCCAGATCTAAGACCAGAACATATTGTCGATTGCCGAGCGTACATTCAGATATTTGTTGTCATTACGGTCTACATTAACGTTTATGTGAAGCTTTCATAATACAACTTAAGACGGCTGGTTTAGATAATCAAGATAAATGACTGTATCAGTCCGTTTTATTATTATTAGAAGTCGGTTCTACTAATACTAGCAGGTAAGACACACGAGATAAATTAGCATTTGAGGATAACGGCTAACAAACATGCTAAGACTTGCATGTGTAAAACGTGAACGTGTTCACATGTTTTCGTTTATTTGTGTTTGCATTATATTTCTATGAAGCTACTCTTTAACTGAATGAGAATAGAGGAAAAGATCTCAGCCAAAATGAGGCCGTCAGGCATCTTTGGCACGGACTGAATCAATGAATCGTTCAGAAATGTCTTTGTAGGCGTTTTTCTAGGTATTTAGACACAGCCAGTATGTAACGTTACATATCATGGTTCGCTGTTCTTGTTTTTAGAGCAGACATGACAATAGATAATAAAAAACAGTATATAAAACTGAAAGGTAAAGGTTAAGTGGGCGTACACTACATGAATTCTATATTGCAAATTATTATATAATAGTATACCTATTATTATTTAATAGTTACAGCAAACGTTCGGTGTGATATTGTACTAACGCCTGTCTTGGTTGCAGACACAAGGCGACCCATATGGACCCGACGTCCAAGTCTGGGTTGAATCAGGTGTCAGATGTGGTGTTTGTCATAGAGGGAACTGCAAACCTTGGTCCATATTTTGAATCACTTCGGAAGAATTACATACTACCGACTATAGAGTAAGAGTCATTGCCTGTTTATTCGTGTTGACATTTGTAAGACTTCTGTACTGACCTACTTTGTGTGATCACAGGTATTTTAATGGAGGACCACCTGCTGAAACAGATTTTGGAGGAGATGTGAGTTAGACACCTGCTCTTTATATTAGTGCTGTCATTTCAACATCTGATAATCTTTTTGCTTTTTTATAGTATGGTGGCACTCAATATGGACTTGTGGTCTTCAACACAGTGGATTGTGCTCCAGAATCTTACGTCCAGTGCCATGCTCCCACCAGCTCTGCTTTTGAGTTTGTCTCTTGGATTGACAGCATTCAGTAAGGGCTGCTACGATTCCACGGTAGAAAGTCTGAGATAAAAGTGTGCTTTTGCTTGTTTGGATGAGCTGTTAGTTATGAGCGTATGTCTGCTTTGAAGATTTTCATGTTTTAAATGCTGAGAATTGCAACCTTTACACTGATGCTTTCTGCACAGATTCATGGGAGGTGGAGCAGAGAGCTGCAGTCTCATTGCTGAGGGTCTCTCTGTGGCCCTGCAGCTCTTTGACGACTTCAAAAAGATGAGGGAGCAAATGTGAGCTCTTTAACTTGTTCTGTGGAATCACAATTCTGCCGTTGACTGTATACGTGCTCTCATTGTTTCTCTCTGCAGTGGTCAGACCCACAAAGTTTGCGTGTTGCTGTGTAATTCTCCTCCGTACTTACTACCAGCTGTGGAGAGCGTCAGCTATACGGGCTGCACCGCAGACAGCCTGGTCCAGATCATACGTGATGGATAACGGCTAACAAACATGCTAAGACTTGCATGTGTAAAACGTGAACGTGTTCACATGTTTTCGTTTATTTGTGTTTGCATTATATTTCTATGAAGCTACTCTTTAACTGAATGAGAATAGAGGAAAAGATCTCAGCCAAAATGAGGCTGTCAGGCATCTTTGGCACGGACTGAATCAATGAATCGTTCAGAAATGTCTTTGTAGGCGTTTTTCTAGGTATTTAGACACAGCCAGTATGTAACGTTACATATCATGGTTCGCTGTTCTTGTTTTTAGAGCAGACATGACAATAGATAATAAAAAACAGTATATAAAACGTAAAGGTTAAGTGGGCGTACACTACATGAATTCTATATTGCAAATTATTATATAATAGTATACCTATTATTATTTAATAGTTACAGCAAACGTTCGGTGTGATATTGTACTAACGCCTGTCTTGGTTGCAGACACAAGGCGACCCATATGGACCCGACGTCCAAGTCTGGGTTGAATCAGGTGTCAGATGTGGTGTTTGTCATAGAGGGAACTGCAAACCTTGGTCCATATTTTGAATCACTTCGGAAGAATTACATACTACCGACTATAGAGTAAGAGTCATTGCCTGTTTATTCGTGTTGACATTTGTAAGACTTCTGTACTGACCTACTTTGTGTGATCACAGGTATTTTAATGGAGGACCACCTGCTGAAACAGATTTTGGAGGAGATGTGAGTTAGACACCTGCTCTTTATATTAGTGCTGTCATTTCAACATCTGATAATCTTTTTGCTTTTTTATAGTATGGTGGCACTCAATATGGACTTGTGGTCTTCAACACAGTGGATTGTGCTCCAGAATCTTACGTCCAGTGCCATGCTCCCACCAGCTCTGCTTTTGAGTTTGTCTCTTGGATTGACAGCATTCAGTAAGGGCTGCTACGATTCCACGGTAGAAAGTCTGAGATAAAAGTGTGCTTTTGCTTGTTTGGATGAGCTGTTAGTTATGAGCGTATGTCTGCTTTGAAGATTTTCATGTTTTAAATGCTGAGAATTGCAACTCTTACACTGATGCTTTCTGCGCAGATTCATGGGAGGCGGAGCAGAGAGCTGCAGTCTCATAGCTGAGGGTCTTTCCGTGGCCCTGCAGCTCTTTGACGACTTCAAAAAGATGAGGGAGCAAATGTGAGCTCTTTAACTTGTTCTGTGGAATCACAATTCTGCCGTTGACTGTATACGTGCTCTCATTGTTTCTCTCTGCAGTGGTCAGACCCACAAAGTTTGCGTGTTGCTGTGTAATTCTCCTCCGTACTTACTACCAGCTGTGGAGAGCGTCAGCTATACGGGCTGCACCGCAGACAGCCTGGTCCAGATCATACGTGATGTGAGTCTGCACTGATCTACTTTTTATCAGATATGTCTGTTTGTCACAGTTCTGTTGTAATGATAGATTTGCAACCTTATGTCACTGAATTTGCTGAGAGTTCTCAAACATTATAAACAATTTTGTGTCATTTTGCAGTGAAAACACATCAGTAGTCTTGATGTGCTTATGTAGTTAATTACTAAACACAAATGGTTGTTCTGGTGCATAAGACAATGGTGACACCAGCATAGAAATACTCATAATTCTTTGCTGAAAATACAGAACGGTGTTAGACACAATAACTTGCAAACTGTCACTAAATCAAGTGACACTGATTATATACTATGCATTGTCCAATTCTATAATTGCCTATTGTTGTAATATTGTTTTTGCTTTTTTGTAAATGTATGATATTGTTATCAGTGATTGCATTCATTAGGAATATTTACATTGTGCATTTCCTGTAAAATAATGTGCTTATTTAAATCTACTGGTGAAATCAAGCATTATGGAGACTAGCAAATATTCGCCACAATATACATTATAATCAGTATCAACATCTAGAACCTTTCATTTCATCCCACTCGCTTTACGCGTAAATATAAATATAAGTCATTGGATCATCTCTCTCACGCCTTTGGAAGTGGTTGAAAAGACAATAGACAAGTTTAGGTTGTGAATGAATTATTGAGAAGGATCACTTGAAAAAATTACATATTACCTTCTTCATCTCTCTCAAATGAGCCTCATGTCAGAACTTTTCTTTCCTTTTAAAACACTTGTATATAACCAGGTATCCCAGTGCGCCGTATGGTCCGTCCATCCCTGCTCACTTTACAAGAGAATTCACTGCAATGCAGCAGCAGTATTTTGAGTATTATTATGGATCTCAGGTTAACATTTTTTGTGGAAGTAATACATAAATAAGACAAAAATGCAAGCTACTAAATTTTGTATTAAATTCTGCGATCTCAGAATAGCAAAACCCTGGTGAGACAGTATACTGTATTTGCCTTGATGCTGATTATGCTGGTTGATACAAGCATAGGCTACAATATTATGTGCTATATTATTTTTTTCTCACTGTTTTGTCCTGCCAAATTTATGTATGAAAGCTGATGTCTGTTTCTGATATGTAGTTGAAATTAATGAAATTATTATTATTTGTATTAATTTTTTTGACTGTAGCGGGGGATCCATTTTTCTGTAATCGCTCCACGGAAACTTCCAGCGCTTCGATCTCTTTATGAAAGAGCATCCTCTGTAGCAGGTGCACCAGAATCCTCACACCCAGACTACAGTCAAGACCCCTTTCACATGGTGTTAGTCAGGGGCATTGCACTTCCTGGTAAGAAAGACACTTGTCCTGATATGTATGTGAATGTGCAGTGATATATCATCAACAGCTTTCTTCAGTAGCTGAACAGCAGAGGGGAGAATAAAATAGTATGTTATTGAATGATTAGATTTGCTCTGATTAATGCTTTCTGTTACATCTGTGTGTGTCCAGTAGCTCCTGGAGGAGGTTCTGGTACAGTCTCCCTTAAACCTGTCTTGCCACCTCAGCCTTTGCCAGTGTCCCAGTCTATGGGCTCAGTAACCCAGACTCCTCCTCCTCCCCTTCCATACCAGGTGTGTGTTAATGGAATTAATAGAATTATATAACTTTATTACATATACACTACTGTTTAAGGTCAATATTTTCCCCAAAATAAATACTTGTATTCAGCAAGGATTCATTAAATTGTTCAAAAGTGAAAGTACAGACATTTGTGACCCTGGAGCACAAAACCAGTCTTAAGTCGCTGGGGTATATTTGTAGCAATAGCCAAAAATACGTTGTATGGGTCAAAATTATAGATTTTTCTTTTATGCCAAAAATCATTAGGCTATTAAGTAAAGATCATGTTCCATGAAGATATTTTGTAAGTTTCCTACCGTAAATATATCAAAACGTAATTTTTGATTAGTAATATGCATTGCTAAGAACTTCATTTGGACAACTTTAAAGGCGATTTACTCAATATTTAGATTTTCTTTCCACCCTCAGATTCCAGATTTTCAAATAGTTGTATCTCTGCCAAATATTGTCCAATCCTAACAAACCATACATCAATGGAAAGCTTATTTATTCAGCTTGATGATGTATAAATCTCAATTAAAAAAAATTGTGGTTTTGTGATCCTGGGTCACATTTATTTTGTAAAGATTTCGAAATAAATGCTGTTCTTTGAACATTCTTTTAATGTATCGTGGTTTCGACCAACATTAAGCAGCACAGCTGTTTTCATCACCAAATCAGTCAGTTAGAATGATTTCTGAAAGATCACGTGGCACTGAAGCCTGGAGTAATGGCTGCTCAAAATTCAGCTTTGGCAACACGATAATATTTTACATTTTAAAATATATAATTATATTGCTGTTTTTGCTGCATTATTTTTTATTAAATAAATGCAGCCTTGGTGAGCACATTAGACTTTTGAAAGGTAGTGTATATATTTACATGAAACTCCTTTCAAGCAAAACATTTCACGAAACTAGTTTTTTAGGTGTCGGATGATAAAACTATAGGCCGGTATTGTTTAAAAATTATGCCATTTATTTATTTAACTTTGGATTTTGAATTTTTTGCAAGATATGAAAGCTTTATGGTGTTAAAATGATACAAAATGGTAAAACATTTTAGTATGTGGTCTGCTGTAGTCGCATCAAAACTTTTATAAATTATATCATTAAAAATATATAAAGACAAATAGGCCTAATGAAAAGCTCAGTCAGATCAGAGAAATTGTATATAATGGGTTTGCCACAGGGAAAATGGGGACAAAAAGGAAAAACAGGAACAGCGAAAATATTTGCATGTTTTAATGAGCAGTTCACGTAACCATTGGCAGGTGAGGTAAAAGGTTAATTTTGGACCCTGCTATCTCACTGCTTCGATGATGTAGCGTAATCAGAACGCTTCTCTCAATAACAGGTTAATCTCGGTCTGCTCATTCTGAACCTTTCTGTGCCTAATTGGAGGCACATTATTGGTAATTTTCAGCATACAGAGCCTCATTTTGATTCTTAAGCTTGAGACTAACTGCTGTTATGATCTCATTTGAATAGATCTAAGTGGTAGATGAGATGTGCATGAATGCATTTGTATTTGGTGGAAGGAGAGACTTTTGAAAGGTAGTGTATATATTTACATGAAACTCCTTTCAAGCAAAACATTTCACGAAACTAGTTTTTTAGGTGTCGGATGATAAAACTATAGGCCGGTTTTTTTTTAAAAATTATGCCATTTATTTATTTAACTTTGGATTTTGAATTTTTTACAAGATATGAAAGCTTTATGGTGTAAAAATGATACAAAATGGTAAAACATTTTAGTATGTGGTCTGCTGTAGTCGCATCAAAACTTTTATAAAGTATATCATTAAAAATATATAAAGACAAATAGGCCTAATGAAAAGCTCAGTCAGATCAGAGAAATTGTATATAATGGGTTTGCCACAGGGAAAATGGGGACAAAAAGGAAAAACAGGAACAGCGAAAATGTTTGCATGTTTTAATGAGCAGTTCACTTAACCATTGGCAGGTGAGGTAAAAGGTTAATTTTGGACCCTGCTATCTCACTGCTTCGATGATGTAGCGTAATCAGAGCGCTTCTCTCAATAACAGGTTAATCTCGGTCTGCTCATTCTGAACCTTTCTGTGCCTAATTGGAGGCATATTATTGGTAATTTTCAGCATACAGAGCCTCATTTTGATTCTTAAGCTTGAGACTAACTGCTGTTATGATTTCATTTGAATAGATCTAAGTGGTAGATGAGATGTGCATGAATGCATTTGTATTTGGTGGAAGGATCTGGCTTTGTTTTCAAGCAAGGCTGTGCACTCTAATGATGAGACCTCATGAATGTTGTCCCTCTGTTGCATACACTCTCTCTCTTGCCACAGAAGCCCTCTCTGAACGCGGCCCATGATGCAGCACAGAAGGTGCTAGATGCAGCCACTCAGCAGCAGAAGAGCCGATGTGAGTCAAATTGTGTCCCCTTATTCTTGAATCTTCTGCTGTGTTTGTGTGTTCCGTGTTTCACTATGTTTTCCATATTTGAAACACCATTTGCTGAGTTGTTTATGTTTTGTTCACAGTTCCTCAAATGCAAAATACTCCCTTCAGCCAATCACTCACATCAGGAGGTAACCAATGTACGCTTATCAGGCACGGCGGCACGCTCGGTTGTTGAGGCCTGTCGTAGAGTCACCATCTGGATGATGAGTTCACACAGCTCACCGCACACTATTCGCAAAAACAAACACTGCCAAGCTGCGCTGTGTAAATTAAATCAATAGTAATTCTGCGCCACAACTCTGTCGTTCTGCAGATGAGTCCTGCGTTTTCTCCACACTGTCCTTTTTCAGCGATACTGTAAGGTGGTTGTAGTAAAAACTTGTATATTTTTTAAATCGATAAGTTGTTGTCAACAGTTGTTCTAAATGATGCTTTAAAAAAAAAAGAGGTTCCAGCTAATATTCTTAAAATGGTCTGTTTGCTCATTAGTTGTACTTTTTTGATTGACATAATAACGTTGCAGCTTTTCCATAGTCAGTGCGATCTCTCTTGTTCTGGAAGTTGCACACACAGGTTGTATATTTCTCTGAGACCTCCTGCCTTAAGTCCTACCATCTATCTCTGCCAGCAAGGTCTTTTTACTCTGTATGTTAACCTCTTCATCTTATTCTGTCTCTCCTTTTTTCCCTCCCCTTGTCACCTCTCCCTCTGTCTCCATCAATCACCGCAGAAGCCCAAGGCTTCCTCCATGGACTCCAACACAAAACTTACGCGCTCCCTGCCCTGCCAGGTCCAGGTCAGCCAAGGGGAAAATCTGTGAGTGACTCCGTTTGGCCCATATTTGCATAATGTAGAATATATGGAAGAGATGCACAGAGAGGATGAAGTCCCCCCCCCTCCCCCCCCCTCTTTTGTTTCAGAAATACAGACCAGTGGCCACAGAAGCTGATCATGCAGCTCATCCCTCAGCAGCTCCTGGTAAATGTGAATATAGTTGTTTCCTGCAGGATGCATTACTGGGCTTGCGAAGGAAGCAATGATTTATTATTCTTGTTCTTGTTCTCCTTCTCCTATATTATCTCCTTCTAGGGCTGGGTGATATAGCTAAAAAAATTATCAACGATATAATGTTTCATATCGTTCGGTATCGATAATTATTGACATTTTTTTTTATAACCTTTTTTAAAACAAAAAGCAATAGAAAAAAATGTTTGAATTTAACCACTGTATTTATAATTAACACAATTTATTGAGACAAACAACAAATATTTTTTGTTTTAACAATCAAACACAATAAAAATTCAACAAATATATAATTTCTAATGTTTTATATGCAGATTAAATAGGTCTTTATTTTATAGGTCTAATTGTCTCCCGAGGGCGCAATGAGCAAAATAATGCAAAGCATTTAAATTGTCAACGCAAGGAAGTAACTCCATAAAAACGTGCATTACGTCTAAATTAACTCATAAAAATCCAATATAATTCCGTAAATTGCATAACAATTATGGACAAAACAGTATCATGTATTTATGCATTGCTTAATCCAAAGAGCCGAATCGCTATTCACACAGACTGCATTTAAAAACATATAAGATGCAGTGAAAAGGAATAAACCTCCACAAATTCGTGACGTGTTTTCTTAAAGTTTAAACTGTTTTAACTTTGCATGACTTTCTATGCATCTCTTCAATGCATATTTCTCTAATATTTTGAATGCATAACACAGCAGCGGCGCATCTCGTGGGCTAGACTAACAAAACATTAAAATACAACAACGTCACTTACATCACTGCATCTCGCGCGCCACTGATGACGCTCCCTGATGCACACCTAACATTCAAATGCAAATGTTTATTTTAAATTCGACTAATATTCATTCTTTATTCACAATCTCCTCATCACAGGCAGGCACAGCACTCAATTCAGCATGTGTTTGTGTGTGCTGTCTGCATCACTCATAGCACGTGCCTATATCGTGCACTATATCGAACATTTTTTCTATCGATATTGAAGAAGGTGTACCATCGATAAATATCGATACTGTTTTATCGCCCAGGCCTATCTCCTTCATTATCTTTTTTCTCTGGTCCTTTTTCTCTTCCGTTCCCATCATTTTCGTTTCCTCCTTATTCTCACCATCATTGCTTTTCCTGTATCATCATCCCTTTTTTTTGTTCTTCTCAGTATTTTTCTCCTTTTCTACTCCATTATCTCCTCTTTTTTTACTCCATCTCCTTTTGTGCATAATCTTTTTCTTTTCATTCAATCATCTTTTCATTCCCTTACTTCTTCTCCTCTTCCCAAATCATAATTTCTACTTTTATTCATCTTTTTTCTCTTCCTCATATTTTTCTCCCACTTTTTCTTCTTCTCCTAAATCGTAATTGTCATCTCGTCTCCTGTTTCCTCGTCATCTTTTTCTCTTCTGTCTCATAATTCTTCTTCTACTCCTCCTCAATCACCATCACCTCCTGCTCTTCTTTCATGTTGTTCTTCTACTTATTTTTCACTCCCCGTGCTGGACTATGCATACTTCCAGTGTTCGAACTATACCGTGGACTTTGGGGGAGCCCACTTGTTTTTTTTTTTTATAACGGCTACAGAAGAATACCATAATTCCTCCGTTCAGTTAGGCCTAAGACATCGAGAGTCAGGCAGACCTATAACAACCCAGCCACAACACATAATTGCGAATAACATGCCTTACCTTAACACAGAGTCCAACGTTTATATTTTTTCTACGAATCTTTGAGTTAACGTACTAAACATGAGTGGAATTTGCACCGCAGCGCCCCCACACCTTGATGCTCATGACAAGAATAGCATGTATAGTTATCTTAATTGAAGTGAATTGGGTTTAAATCGCTGTCATGTATGAATGAATTATATTTTTGCAATTTTACACATAATACACATTACACAAAACTGAAATTGCACGTCAAAATAACACATTGTCAATATTTTTTGAGACCCCCCAAAATTTCACAAATCACGTTTTCAGGGGAGCCCATGTCTTTTTGTAAGGGGAGCTGAGCTCCCCCTAGCTCCCCCGTAGTTCGCACCCTGCATACTTCTCTGATGCACACAGTATGCAAAATGCATTGTCAAATGAGTAGAATGTTCATTACAGACGGTATTCTTTGCACAAATTACTAACTTTAATAATACTTGTTAAAAACCATACTATAATTACAAAAATATCGCATGAAATATACATTTAAGCTCTCGCATTAACTTTAAAATGTAGATTTCAAACGACTTTTGTTCATGTCAACCTAAACAGCATATATACAGTGGGGAAAAAAAGTATTTAGTCAGCCACCAATTGTGCAAGTTCTCCCACTTAAAAAGATGAGAGAGGCCTGTAATTTTCATCATAGGTATACCTCAACTATGAGAGACAAAATGAGAAAAAAAATCCAGAAAATCACATTGTAGGATTTTTAAAGAATTTATTTGCAAATTATGGTCGAAAATAAGTATTTGGTCAATAACAAAATTTCATCTCAATACTTTGTTATAATATACCCTTTGTTGGCAATGACAGAGGTCAAACATTTTCTGTAAGTCTTCACAAGGTTTTCACACACGGTTGCTGGTATTTTGGCCCATTCCTCAAGAGCAGTAATGTTTTGGGGCTGTCGCTGGGCAACACGGATTTTCAACTCCCTCCAAAGATTTTCTATGGGGTTGAGATCTGGAGACTGGCTAGGCCACTCCAGGACCTTGAAATGCTTCTTACGAAGCCACTCCTTCATTGCCCGGGCGGTGTGTTTGGGATCATTGTCATGCTGAAAGACCCAGCCACGTTTCATCTTCAATGCCCTTGCTGATGGAAGGAGGTTTTCACTCAAAATCTCACAATACATGGCCCCATTCATTCTTTCGTTTACACAGATCAGTCGTCCTGGTCCCTTTGCAGAAAAACAGCCCCAAAGCATGATGTTTCCACCCCCATGCTTCACAGTAGGTATGGTGTTCTTTGGATGCAACTCAGCATTCTTTCTCCTCCAAACACGACAAGTTGAGTTTTTACCAAAAAGTTATATTTTGGTTTCATCTGACCATATGACATTCTCCCAATCCTCTTCTGGATCATCCAAATGCTCTCTAGCAAACTTCAGACAGGCCTGGACATGTACTGGCTTAAGCAGGGGGACACATCTGGCACTGCAGGATTTGAGTCCCTGGCAGCGCAGTGTGTTACTGATGGTAGCCTTTGTTACTTTGGTCCCAGCTCTCTGCAGGTCATTCACTAGGTCCCCCCGTGTGGTTCTGGGATTTTTGCTCACAGTTCTTGTGATAATTTTGACCCCACGGGGTGAGATCTTGCATGGAGCCCCAGATCGAGGGAGATTATCAGTGGTCTTGTATGTCTTCCATTTTCTAATAATTGCTCCCACAGTTGATTTCTTCACACCAAGCTGCTAACCTATTGCAGATTCAGTCTTCCCAGCCTGGTGCAAGTCTACAATTTTGTTTCTGGTGTCCTTTGACAGCTCTTTGGTCTTGGCCATGGTGGAGTTTGGAGTGTGACTGTTTGAGGTTGTGGACAGATGACTTTTATACTGATAACGAGTTCAAACAGATGCCATTAATACAGGTAACCAGTGGAGGACAGAGGAGCCTCTTAAAGAAGAAGTTACAGGTCTGTGAGAGCCAGAAAGCTTGCTTGTTTGTAGATATAATATAATAGATATAAATAATACTTATTTTACCGAGGAATTTACCAATAAATTCTTTAAAAATCCTACAATGTGATTTTCTAGACTTTTTTTCTCATTTTGTCTCTCATAGCTGAGGTATACCTATGATGAAAATTACAGACCTTTTTAAGTGGGAGAACTTGCACAATTGGTGGCTGACTAAACACTTTTTTGCCCCACTGTATGTGCATTCCTAGCAGGACTCATTTAACCTACAACAATGACAAACCATGGTTCACTGCAAAACTCAGACAGCTCCGTCAGGCCAAAGAAGATGCTCACAGGAAGGGGGATAATGTCTTGTATAAACAGGCTAAATACACAATGGAAAAGGAGATCAGAGTGGCAAAGAGGAATTATTCTGAAAAAATAAAGATTAAATTCTCTTCCAGTGACTCGGCATCAGTGTGGAAAAGTCTAAAAGAAATCACCAA